CGCCCCCGCCCCGCCCGCGGCGTGCTGCCCACAGCCCGGTTCTCGGTGTCACACGGGGGTGGCGACAGGAGAGCCGGGCCCCGGACCCCTCTTCACTTTTTTAAAGCCCCCCCCGGTTGGAAGTAGCTCGGGGTTCACGGCGCGGGGGGTTGAAGTGGGGCAGAGAAGGGGAGCAGAAACCAGGGGAGCCGTGCCCTGCTTGGCAAGAGCTTCTGCTTGTGTGTTTTGTGGCCAGCCGCTGGGAAGAAGCTCCTTTCTTTTTCCAGGGCCCCTTCCCCTGCAGAGGACGAGAGCTCTACCAGCAGCTTTTTAAATTGTAAGGATGTGAATTTGGTTTCAGGTGGCTGCTACCCCAGGCTTCCTTTATGGCCTGGTAGACAAACTGGGTGCAGCCGCTTCCATCTACAAGGAGCTGCTGGGGCTCCAGATACAACTGTATCCCCCTCCCCGGCTCCAGATACAATTTTTATATTGCAAAGTTTGCTCTGGGTCCCACCTGTTTTGCTCTCCCTGAGGAGGATGGGTGCGGGGGCAGAGACAGCTCAATCGGAGCAGGATCCGGCCCTGATGCTGTGTCCAGTGGGTTTGGTGCTCTGCCCGCTCATGTATTTATTCTCCGTGCGCGGACCGTTGTCCGTTCACGTGTGTCATGAAATCAGCTGCGTGGTGTGGAAAAGCTCTCTGGGGTGGGAGGGATGGAGTCGGAAGCAAGGACAGGGCCGTCTTTGGAAGGTAACAAGCGTATTTTGCAGGCGCAGGTGATGCCGTTAGATACAGTTCACGTTGTTGGCTCCTTTTTAAAAATCTTTTCCTTTGAAGCTCTTAAATGCTTCTGCGAAGGCGCCTTGCCTGCGTGGAGTCTGTGCGCTGGGAGGGAGCAGGAGCATCGTGTGCTCTTGTTCTGCTATAAATCCCGATGCATATTGCAAGATCCTTTCTGAGAGCGGGAAGGGACTGTGGCCCCAGGGGAAAACTAGCCCAGTGGGAAGTTTTGAAGTCGTAATAAAGTAACGCCGTAGGTCAGCCCAGCTTTCTACTGTCACAGCAGCTTGCTTCCCGGTCCGGGAGGGGGGGACGGGAGACCACCCGTTCCTTTCGGCAGTGTGGGGTCACATGGCGCTACTGAGCTTTAAGCAGAGCTTGAATTGGGAATTACTGGTGATGCCAGGATATGAGTTCCCAGTAACGCTCATTTTTGGTTTTTCTAAAATGTTGCATTTAAAAAAACCTCGTTTCTATAATAGCGTAAAATAAAGACAGTCTGCGCCGTTAAGTGATAAAGGGCCGGGCCATTTGCTCGATTAGTTCTTCCACCCCTGGGTAGTCCAAGAGCTCTGTAGGTGCCTTTGATTCAGGGCTGTCTTTAAGCACATGCTTAACTTTAAGCATATGACTGTTGGGGTCATTGCAGGATTTCAAAGGTGGGGCCCAGACGAGTGTCGGGGGCCCTCCGCTCTAGCTAGCAGGGTCCCGGGATTGGGGATCGTCGCTGGCGAGGCTGTAATCGGCCCGGCCTGTGATGCTTTATGTCCTGGGAAAAGGAACTTTTTATTGAAGCTGTGCAGTTTTTCAGGCTTTGTAGCATGCTGTCCAGGGAACGCTTGTTAAATCCATGGGTATGCTTTAAATGGGATTATATTAAACACGTGACCAGAAAGTAAAAGCCAAGCTTTTCAAAAATGACCTGTGATTTTGGGCCCCCCGGTTTTGGGACGTCTAACCGGAGACTCTTTCAAGGGGCCTCTTTTGCAGAAGGCCCACGCTTGGCACTTCTGAAAACCCCAGCCCTGTTAAAGGTGGGTTTTCAAAATGACCAGTGGCTTTTGGAGATCTGTGGCCTAGGGTTATTTCCACGCAATGTTTCCTCCGTGTTCTCACTAGGGATTTATTTGACCTTGACTTGTTATTGCCAAGGAGGGAAAACTTGAGGGCTTGACTTCTTTACCTGATATAAAGCACTAATACAAGGTTTTGTTCCTCCAGAGTCTCCTCCACCTCCTTATTCTCGGCTGTCTCCCAATGATGAGCAAAAGCCACTGGGTATGTATTTCCTCTTTATAAGTGCTCATGGCAGTCTTTCTTCCTTGTTCACAACAACATTTTGTATTATTCCCCAGTGGAGACATGTCCACTGTAGAGCATAAAAGCACATGCCCGAATCTAGAGGCCTGGGCTTCTCCTGATTTCTGAACCAGCAGCAGTTGACCAGCTGTAGGGAGTCAAGGAACAAATATCAAATGAGTTATGTGGTTTTATCCTATTGTAACTACTGCAGGTTTGATCTTATAATGCCCTTTTTGTGCTCCCGGCGTGCTTTTCAGGGTAATTTCTTGATAGAGTGAAACAGTTGTATTTTGAATGAAGCTGCAGCGATTTTCATACCTGACGTTTTATACTGGATGTGAGGGTAGGATGGGAGACGCAACTCCTGGCTTCTCTTCCCGGCTCGGCCAGCGACCTGCTCTTTGACCCCAGGCATGCGTCTCCGTGTAAAATGAGAACAATGAGACTTACCTTCTTTTATGAGCTGCGGGAGGGATTTCTAGATGAAGAGCCAGGGTGGAAGAGCTAACTATTATTTATTGTAATGTTTATTCAACGGAGACACAGGCCCTTTCAGCTCCATCCTGTAAAAATTTTAAGGAAATCTCACTTTTCCCTGTGAATTATTATGACTTTGTAAAATATTGCCGAAAGGAGCTTGGTCAAGTAGGCTTGGCATACAACGCAGCCCACTTTAAAACTGGCAAAATTCAGCTGAGTCTGTCTTCCAAAATATATATTATCTTTGAAAAAATGTAAAATAACCCTCAGTAGACACAGTGTCAAATCCTGCCTTTGCCTTCGTGGTGCTCAGCACCCCTCCCGGTAAATGGGCAGTGCCACGCGCCCTGGAGGGGAGCAATTAGATGCATCCGTTTTGATACTTCTGTGTAAGCAGAGGTTATTTTGTGCCAATTTCCAGCGCACTGAATAGCACTTTGCTCTTCCGTTTGGTCCGTGGTTCTGGTTTACAAAAGAGGAAGCGAGCAAAGAGGGTCACCAAGGGAAGGGGGAGGTGGGTGACAAGTATTTGCCCAGTAAAAAAAAAGGAGCAGCTTGGCACATACGTAACGTTAAGGGCGTAGATAGAGGTAGAGAAGGTCCTGTCCCAGAGGACACGAGAGTGGGAGATTGTGGGGGGCCTAAGGAAGGTCAGGTCAGGCCCAAAGTGTGGGGTTAAGCTCACAGGGTTGGGCCCTTGATCCTTTTTTAAAAAAAAAGCAGCGCAGCAGCAAAACACGAGAGGCTGGGTTGTCATTTGGACACAGCACCCATGCAAAGGCCTTGCAGGAAATAAATCTCCCTTCCCGGCCTTCTGTCTCCTTGCCTGGGTCTTGAGCCCTTGGGTGCAGGTGCGCAGGACTTGCACGCTGGGGCTGTCCTGGAGCAGGTGGGCAGGGAAGCACGGGAAGGGCCAGCCGATGTGAGAGACCAGCAGCAAATAGCTGAGACCCAGAGTCAGCAAAACGAGGGAAGGAATTGCGCGCCACAGGTTCCCGAGTCCTGGTGCACCATGAGACAGTCTTTGCAGGGGCGTAATTCATATCCCCTGATTTTCCTCCGAGCCAGGGGGCTTCAAGGCACAGCCTAAATAGTCCACGCTGCCTTTTACAGTCAAGCACGGTGCTCTTCACTGCTGGTGGGTCACCCCAGAGGAGTTCAGAGTGTCCTAGAAAAGACATCACGTGGCTGCGGGAGCGCCTGTTAGACGTAGAAAAAACCCGAGCCCCATACCTACTCCCTTCAGAAGCTGCGCGTGCTGCAGGCAGGGGAAAATCGCGAGTGATGTGTGAATTTATTAAAACAACGGCCAGTGATTCAGGGAGATTCATGGCTTTGCTTGCTTGCAAAAATGATGGTTAATCTGTGAGCAAACAGTTGAGCACTTAATGAGAAAGAGGGAATAACAACGGCTCTTAACTTGTTAAAACAAAGTTTCCTTAGCTTCAGCAAAGAGGAAGGAAGGAAGGAAGCAAGAATAAACAGCTTCAAGAATTTTAATGGTGATAATTAAGGATAGTAACTATGAATTGTTTGGAGGCTTAGCATAACCTTATCCAGTAAGCACCAAGTTCCTACTTGTTTGATCCATTGAACTGCAGTTATTTTTGTGGTCAAAGCAGTTGAAACTTTGCATTTTGCACGTCAGAGAAGGAAAGTTGAGTGCCTGGTTCCTGCCCGGGGTGCATGGTTCCTCGTGGGTAGGCATCTGGCAGGTGATGTGGGCCGGTGGAGCCCTGAGTGCTCAGACGGTGCTTGTGATGCAAACGTGCTAAATGCTCTTCTTTTATTTTCCAGATCTATCAGATTCCACGTTGTCTTACACTGAAACAGAGGCCACTAACTCGCCAAACATCACGCCTGGAGACTTCTCAGGTTGGCAGATGCTAATGTTCACAGTAGAAGGGCTGTTGTGTTGAGCTGCATGAAGCCAGCTTGCTGGTGTGAGCAGGAAAGCAGAATGAAATAGATGTGTCTGTCTGAGAGCTTCTTGGTGACAACAGGGGGAAAAACAAATCAAATGCCTGTTGAAGCTGATGGCTCCAATAGAGACTGTCATGCCCTGGCTGCTGGATGAAAATATTGGTTGTGATCTGATTTTAATACACAGAAAAGGAAGAAAATACAGGAAGCATCTCCATGCTGGGATGCATCTTCTAGCATGCATGGCGTGCACACACACTTGTTCCCTGGTAGACTCCTGCCTTGAGACAGGAGGGTGGGTGAAAAATGGTCTGTGAGCTACAGGCATTGCTTCATAGGGGTAGTGAATGGGGATGTTTCCATGTAAGGGTGACAAGTGTGTTCTTGAGTGTGCACAAAAGGTATTTTAGGGTCCAGTGTGCAGAGCCTTGCTCTGGTGGGCAGAATTTGTCCCTTTCCTCCCATACAAGCCTTTGAAGGTGCTGAGCAAGAGCTTGCATAGTTGGGTCCATCGGTCTTGCTCTTGGGATGTCTCCACTCAATCTGTGCAGCTCCCGTTGGCTTTCCAGGCTTCCACTTGGGCCCAGTGCTGTGATCACGTCACGGGTTTTAGGTCGGGGTTGGAAGGTGGAAACCACAGGTGGTGTGCTGATTTGGGCAGGATCCCTGCTGTATGTCCATCCCCGGGATAGCTCCGTTGACTTCAGTGGAGTCGTAGACCAACCCTGGCTGTGTTTTTTCATACGCTGTAAGTTTTGGGGTGGGAGGGACCAAACTGGCAAGCTTGTCTCCGGTTTTCGTGCGCAGAATGGCTGAGTACGGTCGATGGCGAATCTCCGAGGACAGGGACGAATGCTGGCCAAGTGGCTGGCACACCCTTTACTCCAGCCATAGGGCATCTGCCTCGCGAACGCCGACGGCTTGCTTGTTCGCTCCTGACGTTTCGCAGAATCACGGCTGATGGATCCCTCCCTTGTCCCTCTGCCAGGGCGACGTTGTCTCCCGCCGTGCGTTCCCTTGGCTTCCTCGTGCCTTTTTGTCACAACTCGTTCTCGCCGTCTGTTTGCAGTTGCCCCAGGATCACAGAGCTGAGGGCCGGGGCCATTTTTAACTAGCCTTATTAGCTCTGTTAATACAGCTCCCACGAAGATTAGCCTCATCTGCTGCGTCTGCTGGCAGGGCCACCGCAAGCGGTTAAGGCTCCCTTTCTAAGCAGGCCCAAAGGCCGGCACTTTCCCGTCATTTGTTTTCTCAACGTTGGTTTTCCTGATTATCGGGCTTCGAGGGACTTGGGAGCGGAGAATGGGGGCTCCCCCTAGGGGCGCGCGCGGACGGGTACCGGCCCGAGGGGATGCTCCGCGTGTGCTGGAGCAGCGAGGACTTCGTTCCGGTTCTTGTCCGTGTCGGGCTGTTCCAGATCCCTGTCCCCACTCTTCTCGTTTTACCGTGTTAAAGAGTTTATCACGAGCCTTGGAGGAGCTCTGAATTGCTCAGGATGTTTGAACAGCTCCAGAATTCACAGAGGTACATGGTGTTGGCTGGCCCTGCCGGGCTGTAATAACCTCGAGTTTTTCTCCCTTATGAATTTTTCATCGCTCTCGTTTCCCTTTAAGGTTCTTTTGATACCGTTCAATACGTCTTGAGGTTTCTCCGGACTGAATCGAACGTGCCTGATGTTGCTTTTGTTGTGCTGCCAATTGTCCCTAGCAGGGGAACAATTGAGAGCGGGGAGCTGGATCATTTGGAGCGGCGTTGTTGTAAATACGTGGATTCAATTTCTCACAAAAATTCCTTGTGCTCTGCAAATGTCCTGACGCCCGCGGCATTTACGGCACCTTGATAATAACCATCCATCGTAGCAGCAGAGCCTTAAAAACTGAGGGCTTGTGAATGGTGGCCGACTTCTGCAAAGAAGGGCATCTGGCAGGATTTCTGTCAAAGAGACATTTTGACTTGTATTTGAACAGCATAATGATAACACGTGACCAGATTGCGCTGAAACTGGATACTTCTCTCCCACTGTGTAGGTTTAAATGGTGCAACTTTTAATAAGAGTCTGGGGCCGGTTGATGTATTTTCCCCCAGTGGCCATGATTACAGATAGAGGATAAGAGCTCCGCTGAAGTTAACCCGTGCTTGTCGTCGCCAGGAACCGAACATCTTTACTTACAGCGCAAGGGCAGCGTTTTGCTCGCTTTCGTTTCCAGTGCATCGTCTTGGATCGGTTTGAAGGATATACAGCGTTGTGTGAAAGACGCACAAAGCTTGTGTTGCCACCGCCCTTTCTCGCGCGTGTCTAAGGAACTGAAGTGTACATTTACCTCCTGTTCCAAAAATAAGAACATTTTGGATCTAGCATCTAGCCACTGGTATTTATTGCTTTAGCTCTGATCATCAGAGATGCTTTTCCTTTTAAAACCACAAAATTCAATTTCTGGATAACAGAGAGATCCATTCTTTACTGTTGTTAGCGTAGCCGATGAACTTCCAGCCCCTAAGTTTTAGTAAGAAGTCAAAAGGTTATCTGCACCATGTTTGTAAGTTAAAAAGACTCTTTTTGAACTTGACCTTATATTCATGACCACAGCAGGGATTGCAGGACTCTAGGAAAGCCTCTAATGACCCTGCGGGTCTGTCATAGAAATTGAAAGATATAAGTAGCTTAATTGTAGCAGAGGAAAGGGTATCCGAAAGCACATCTCTCTCATCTTTTCTCTTTATCAAAAGCCCTCTTAGGATTGCTTTAGAAAAAGAGTGTAGCTGCGTATCAAGCTCTCGAGGAAAGCTTTGTACATTTATTATGGAAAAACTGAACACGTTTGCTCCATGCAAACAGCCACAACTCTGGGCAGTGCAATCCCTTGAGACTTTCTGAAACCGGAAGGTGGCCTGACAGCTCGGGCTTGATCCTGGAAAGGGTCGAGCACCTGAATGAGACTTGTATACCAGCTTTAATCTTCGATACCATACGCCACGGGCCATCTTGGATGATGGGGTTGAGGGTGAGGCTGTTCCAGAAGCAGCCGGGTCAAAACGGTGGGAAGAACGACTCCCATGTCGTGAGTTGGAAGCACAGCACGGCTGCGGGCTTTGGTCGCAGGAGGGCTTGCGTGGCCTGCAGCAGCGTGGCCAAGGTGGAGTGATGAGCGCAAGTAAACCAGACTCCGCTGCTTGCACGAAGGAGGTCGGAAGCCCTGTGCAAGGCAGCGGTGGAAAGGGGGTGGGCGAATGCTGAGTGTCTGAGCAGGCGTGAGGCTCGTGCTGCTCTTTTATGGGAAGAAGGCCCTCAACCTGGTTTCCCCCCATAGGCATCCTCTGCCACTACGTGCACAGGGACCTTGGCACCCATGCCTCAGCACACTTATTGATTCAAGAGCAAGCTCCTGGCCCTGCCCACCACCGTTTTTCCTTTGCACTTGAACATACAGTATTCTGCCTCGGAGCTGTGCTGCATCACACCTGCCTCTTCAGAGAGAGCCCCCCCCAATCCCCAGAGGACCAGCAGGGCTGGGGGGCCACCCTGGGCTCCTCCCAGAGATAAAGTGGGGTCACGTGGAAAGGGTGGGCTGCAGGGGAGCATAAAGGGCAAACAACTGAGAAACCAAACCTCAACCCTGTGAGTCACTAGTGATGGAGCAGTGGTAATAAGTTTGTTTTGTCTTTTTTTTTTTTTCTCTCCAGACATTTGGCTCCAGCACCAAATGCCAGGAAACTGTTGCACCCGTTAGCCCTCCAGGCTTGTAGAGGGCTGTGCTGTTGGGGAAACTGGTTCTTCCCCATTGCCGGAGTAATGGGAACCCTTCCTTGCTAGGACAGTCCTGCAGGGTGGGATGGTGGCGCTGGATTTCCGTTACCTTCCCCGGGTCTCTGGGCCCTGGCAGGTGTCTGCGGCCCCGACGGCTGATTTAAAGGAAGTGAAGGAGAATCCTAGCCCGGCGTTTTCCTCACTCCCTGCTCCGAAGCATGGTGCAGGCTGGCTGTCGGCGCGGTGTCTTGATTTAAATGAATGTGACTTGGTGGCGGTGTCAGATTTGCTGCCTGTGCTTGGAAGGGTGTGAGATGGGCGCGGGCAAAAGCGGTGGCCACAGCCGAGGCTGCTCCGGTTGTGCGTTGCCTTTTTAGAAAGTCTGATTCCTCCAGGATTTCAGCGGTGGGGCTGGCTGCTTAGGTCCTCTCTGTCACTGCTCTTGGTCCTTAGCTGGAGGTAGCGACTCAGACATCAGGCAGAAGGCAAGGCAGGGCAGCACCTTAGAGAGTAACTGGTGCAGAGAGGCAGCAGCTTTTGAAGGACTCATTTCCCAGTGGCTCCAGTCCTGAAAGGCAGTTAGCACTTGAAGCTCCCTGGCATGTCAGTAGGAATCGCAGCTCCTCTCCGTACCTTTCGGGAGCTTACCCCAGGGAAGGCTCAACACATCCCTGCGTCTTGCTCTTCTCCCGCTGCTTTGAGAGGATCCAGGTTGAGGTTTGGGAGGCCTCAAAGCAAGGCCATGATGGTCACCGAGCTCCATGACTTTCCGCACCCCAAAATAACCCCACAGCTGCGTCTGGGAGCTGGCACGTGGCACCTTCATCGCCCTTCTCGACCTGCTTCAGCACCACGAGTGCTATCCAAAGGCTCGGCGGGACATGGTGCCTTCAGGCTGCTAGAGTTTCAGTCCCTTATAAAGATCAGCTGGGCTTCGGGAACTGGGGACATCCACTAGTTTGTGGAGCCATGAATAGTATTTTTTCTGCACTAAACTTTTTCTCACCAAAATACACTGAGTTGGTGATAGTGAAACATTTTGGCAACTTCTTGCTGAAACGGTATTTTGGAGAAAAGGGTTCTTTTTAAAGAAAGTACAGAAACGTTAACAGTGGTCGGTCTCAGCCCTCTCCAAAGAAACCGGTTTGATGTCTGGTTTGGATTCCCATTTTGAGATTCCCTCTACATTTCTTTTTTCCTAAAAATA